GGGTGGGGTAGGGAGTAAACGATAGGATAGAGCCCAAAGAGAGAGAAAGACAGTTGGACAGACAAAGGAGTTGCTAACGATTAGGCTGGGAGGGTGAATAGTTGTTAATGGGGACTGTTAGTGACTAACAACAGGAGGTGTGTAAATGCAGACTATGTGGTAACAAGGCCTGGTGTGTGGGGTAGGGGGCTGGGAATGGGAGAGTTTAGGCCCTAAAATTATTGAACTCGGCATTGAGTCCGGAGGGCTGCAGGGTCCCCAAATAGAAAATGAGGTGTTGTTCTTCCAGTTTGCATTGAGCTTCGCTAGAACACTGCAGCAAGCCTGAGACAGAGATGTTGGTCGGGGAACAGGGTGGTGCGTTAAAGTGGCAGGTAACAGGTAGTTCAGGGTCTTTTTTGCAAGCAGAATGTAGATGTTCTGCGAAGCGGTCATCCAGTCTATGCTTCGTTTTCCCCAATGTAGAGGAGACCACATTGTGAGCAGCGAATACATTAGACTAGATTCTGGGAAGTGCCTGTGAAGTGTTGCTTCACCTGGAAGGCATGTTTGGGCCCTTGGATACTGGGGAGGGAGGAGGTAAATAGGCAGGTGTTACACCTTCGCCGGTTACAGGGGAAGGTGCTGTGGAGCGACGTTGAGGGGCGGGGGGGGGAGGTGGAGTGTTGGGGGTGAAGGAAGTGCGGACCAGCATGTCCTGGAGGGAATGGTCCCCTGTGGAAGGCGGACAAGGAAGGGGAGGGGAATATGTGTCTGGTGGTGGCATCTTGCTGGAGGTGGCAGAAATGTAAATGCTGGTGTCTGAATCTTGTTCATTTTTAGCATCTTCAATTAGTTCATTCTTGGGCTTAAGCAAACTAGCTAAATGTTTTTTGTCATGTATTATGTCATGTGTACACCACTTGTGTGAGACCAAACAAAATATAACATTATGGGGTTGTCACTTATTTCCAAATTGAACTTGAAATGAGCTACCCAAAATGTAAAGATTAAGTCACCAGAGTCTTACCAGACCATTGGGCTGCTCTCTCATTAGAGAGAGACAACTCGTGGTGGTTTAACCTGAGAGTCAGGCAAAAGGTTGAGAAGGAGAATCCTTCATGGTAGCCTCAGCTGGTGCAGGACTCAAACCCATGTCCTTGGTGTGACTCTACATTTCAAAGCAACCATCCAGCCAAATGAACAGACCAACACCGCCAGCCCAAAATGCAAGTGTGTTTATTTTGTCAAAGTTACTATAAACCACAACTCTAAATATTTTCAGATTTATTTATGAACAGCAACAGCTTTTATCCAGCTACAAATAACTGGCTGGAATTTAATGTGGAAACAGGGGCCCCATCCACAGCCAGAATGTCCAGCCCCGGCAGCCACAGCTAAATTTAACATTGTTCAGGCAGTGGTCACCACCCTGAGTCAGTGGGTCCCGTTTCTGAGAGCCATCAGCCAATTGGGTAATTATCAGCTCTTCACGTCCAACAGTGCCTTCCTGTCTCTATCGATCACGTCAATGACGGGCAGACCCGTGGGCACCCCTCTAGTCCTGCCACTAATTGGGACAGTTAAGTGTGGAATAAATGCTGCCATTGCTGATATTCATTGACAAGTGGGCAAGGGACTCTCCGTGTGGGGACTTCCCAAGGAAACTGATGTAAGGTTGCTTGTGGGCTCCAGGGGCAGGGGTTGTCCCACATTCAAAGGAACTGATTGAGGGAGCCAGTATTGGGAAGGGGAATCCCTGCTGAGAACCTCCCCCTGCCCATGCTGGCCTCCGATAGGCTGACTGCAATGGTGGGCAGCATTTCCATTCCTGGGATCCATGATTTGAGGGTTAGACCACTATGGACTTATTAAGAGCCCGAGAGGAATTTAGCAGAATGGAAAACTCTAAAAGAGTCAATGTGAGGTTCCTGTCTTCAATCCAGCTAGCAGTGAAACCCCTGACATCACCACCAAACATTTCACAATATTTCCAACATGTAACAGATGTTCATATTTCCTCTATGTAGTATCTAAGTGGAGCTGCTTGTTAAACTAGGCCTGATGTTACATGTTTGTCACAAACCACAACAACCCAGGGGAATGTGGGCTATCAACAAAGTTAATATACAAACTCTCAATGTGCTTCAGTCAAATTCCTTTCTCGACTACTTTAACAAAAACCATCTTAATTCATCTACTCCTCAATACTGCTTTGCTGAAATGTTGATTGTTTTTCCCTAATGCTGCCATTGATGCACTTGAGTCGAAGTAAATGAATGTCTGAAGATCCATTTTTCTAAATTTCATTGCAGAACAGATTTTAGGGAAAGTGTTCTGGTGTTCCATGGCAGCAAAGTTGGGAAAAAGTAACATGAAAATCAGAATATATCAGAAGTTGTAAAATACTGAGAAGATAGCAAGCACGTCAGGAGGAAATCTATTCATTCTTGGAGACAAAAGGACTGCAGATGCTGGAAGCCAGAGTCCATGGGTGTGAGGTTGGAAAAGCACAGCAGGTCAGATAGCATCTGAGGAGCAGATAAGTCAACGTTTCAGGCCGAAACCCTTCATCAGGATTGGGGAAGACGAGGGCAGCCCAGACATAAACAGAGGGAGGGAATTGGGACGGGGGAGGAAGGGTAGGAGAGATGGTGATAGGTAGGGAGTTATTGTGATAGGTCGGTAGGAAGGGTGGAGCGGATAGGTGAGCAGGAAGATGGATAGGCTAGGTCAGGTCAGGAGCAGGAGGGCTGGACATGGAATAAGGCTGGGGATGGAGGGATTTTGAAGCTGTTGAAGTCAATGTGAAGGCCATTGGGCTGTAAGCTTCCAAGACAAAATCCGTGCCAACACCCTCCAACTATTTATTTCTGGGCTCCCCTCCCCATTCCCAGTCCTGACAAAGGGTTTCCACCCGAAACATTGACTTAACTGCTTCTCAGATGCTGTCTGACCTGCTGTGCTTTTCCAACCTTACACCTATAGAGTCTATTCATTCTGTCTGATCTGTCAATCTCTGAAGAGTTCAGATCTGCTTGTTAAATTGACTCAGTCATTTCAAAAATGGTGCACTCAGTTGGAGCATTGTCCTCCCTGCTTTGGATGTCGTTAATCTCCTTGCCTCTTATCATCGACTGTGTTGAATCCATTGGTTCAGTGGGGCCTTTTTTAAATCTTTTGTACATCTGGTAGGCTGATTGCAACAAAAAGCAAACATTATATTGTGAGCAAAGACAACAACACACTACAAATGATTTTCAGTTATCAAGTATAACACATATCTATCAGCCTTTGCAAACTGGCTCCATGAAGTCAAAGTACTCATTGAAATCAAGGAGAAAATTGTCATGAGCAGAACCAGCTGTTCCACCGGGTCCATTATGAAAATGTTACTCCCCTCAAAAGACTTTGAAAGAAAAAATGGATGAAGGCTAGAAAACAAGCCTGGAAATTTCTACATGTAATTAACCCATGTCTGTTCATAGCCACACAGACAATATGCAAACTTCATGTTGTCTGACAATTGTTATTATAGTCAGGTGCAGCCCAGTGTCATATTTGCTATTCTGTTGCTGCTCACCTCAGCAGGTTGACTTTGTTAGTGTGAGACTGGCAGTGCTTGACTTTAATCTACTCCTCTTATAGGGGAGATGCATGTTGGCTACAATCACTGCTAGAACAGTTAAAAGGGAGCGTGTCAGCAGAAAGAGTGAAAATGCTGCAACAGACCAAATGGTATGCCCTTCGGTTCCCCTGATTCTGCACTGGAGGTTTTGGTGCTGGAGGTTCACATAAGGAGAGAGATCCTCAACTCTTAGAGAGCACAAAGATCTCCAGCCAGACATTCCATGGGGCAGTGGAATGCCAGTCACCTAGCTTTGAGAATCTGGATTTGCGCCATAAAAAGTTAATTGACCTCATATGAGTGGTTAAGGTTAGCAAATTTATTTTTACATGCCATACCCGTACCAATGAACAACTAACATAGGAAACAAAGGACATAGGAACAGGAGTAGGCTATTCAGCCCCTTAAGCCTGTTCTGCCATTCAATGAGGCTAAACTGTAGCCTTACATAATAGACCATGGCCATATCCCTTAATGCCTTGCTTAGCAAAAAGAATCTTTCTCAGATATAACACTAACAAATGATCTAGTATTGTCTTTGTGTGTAGAAATGCATTCTAATATCTCTCCTGAACGGTCTGATCCTAATTCTCAGACTATGTCCCAAAATCTAGAATCCCCAATCAGTGGAAATAGTTTATCTTTATCTACACTGTCTTTTCCTGTTAATATCTTGGAAACTTCAATCAGATCACCTTTTAACTTTCTAAATTCTAGAGAAAACATGCCTAATTTGTATAATCTCTCCTCATAACCCCTGAAATCAGGTATCATCCTTATAAACCTATGTTGTACTCTCTCTCAGATCTACTCACAGTACTCCAAGTGGGGTCTAACCAAGGTTTTGCATTAACTGTAGCATAACTTCTGCAACCTTGTACTCCTGTCCTCTAGATATAAAGACCAGAATTTCATTAGTTTTATTGATCATTTATTTCAACTGTTCATGGCATTTTAAAGATCTGTGCAGCTGAATCCTCAAGTTTCTTTAGACATGCACTGTATATAAATTCATTCCAGCCAGAAAATACCTTGATCTATCCTTTTATGGTAACCTCACACTTGCTTACATTTCACTCCAACTGTCACAGTTTTGCCCATTCACCTAGTCAATCAATATCTCTTCCTAATTTTATGCTATCACCTACACTAACTACAATGCTGCCTAACTTTGTGTGTCATCAATAAATTTAGATATATGACTTTCTACGCCATTACCCAAGTTGTTCATAAATAATCCTCATAGTGCTCCTACCCTCTTGTCACTTACCCATCAACCATCTCTATTAAGCATAACCCACACCCAACACCCATTGTTTCAGCTCATTATCATCTGCTTAGCATTACTGCAAGCCTCACAATTACATTTCACAGTTTTCTCCCCACACATCTTACTATTCAATTGTGCCTGGTACATCAACCAAACAGGATGGGGCACAATTCCTGTCATGCTGGCCTCTCTCCTGGAGGGCAAAATGACCCATAATCCAAGGCAGCAGATGTTATGGATAGTGTTGGACTAAAGGAAGAGGTGGCGATAATATTGCCAAGAACAGTCATAAGCCTGAGGCTTGAGAAAGTATATCAGCAAGGATGACAAAGATAGTGCCTTTAAAAACAGAAAGCGAACATATGAATATGAGAAAAGCTAACAAGAACTTTAAAAACAGATTGGAAAAGCTTCTACAGGTATGGAAAAACTGAGGAAAGTAGCAAAGATACTGCTTGGCCTGCTGTGTTCATCCAGCTCTGCACCTTGTTGTCAAAGATAAACATCGGTCTTTTGAGGTTGAGACAAGAGAAAATTTTATGGGGATAATGGAAATGGCAGAAGTTGCAAGTAAATATTTTCTGTCAAAATAAAATATTGCAGATGCTGGAAATCTTAAACAAAACACAAAATTCTGGAGAAACTCAGCAGGTCTGGCAGCACTTGTGGAGAGAGAAACAGAGGAAACATTTTAAGTCCAGTGTAAGATTTCTTCAGAATTTGTGACTGTTTTCACAGGTGAACACAGAAGTAAATGGTTGGAGTATAATGTGGGAAAGCATGAAATTATTCCCTATGTAGGAAAAATAGAAAAACTGAATTTTTTTTGACACCTACTAAATGTTGACGTTTATACGGATTTGAGTGTCCTTGTTCAGGAAACAGGAAGCAACTGGAATAGCAACTTGCATGTTCACTATTTTTGTGTGGGGATTATGACACAAAAGTAAGGACACCTTGCTGCAACTGAACAGGGTTTTAACAAGACATCACCTAGAGTACTATATACTGTTTTGGCCCTTTCAATCTAAGCTATTAATATGGATTATAAATAACTCTGACTTGGGTGTCTTTTGACCCAGTCATGTTTCACCCCTAACACTGTAAATATTTGAGCAAAAAAACTGCTTGGTTATGAAACAAACATGTTATGAAAGAAGTTTTAACTTCACTGGAAATTGGAGGAAGACATCTGCCCTGTCAGTTACACAGCTTATGGTCCTCAGCCAATTTTCACCAGCAACCTCTTGCACCCCTCCCTACAGAAGTAGCATTCCTTTTGATCAGGAAATGTAGTAGACCCCACACAGGTAGGGACAGTGCAGAAAACTTTACAGCATTGCCTTTCATTTCACAGGGCACCTACCTATTACAAACATTAATCCATGAAAGATTTGAAAGCAAATATAAATGAAAGGGTATGCAAACATAGAGCAGAATTCTTCCATTGTGAAGGATATCATTAGGATTGTTGTACACAGATGCCCATTTTGTGCTCCTGTTTCTAATGCTATTGTTCGACAGCTGTGAGAGAAGACAATAAAATTAGAATAATGATTGTTTAATAAGTCAGGAAGCCCGACTAGGCAGAAAAATCATTTATTGTTAATCACCAAACAGAGCCACTATTCGTGGCATACATTAACTAGTTACAAGCTGGGACAGACATCCCTTGGTCTGCTTTATTTTCTTTTCTCCCCTTTTTTCTTCTATCCAGAAGTATTATCACATACAACTGAGTGACCTTCCCACCACCAAAATCACCGTGACATCTTTTTATTTGTTTTTTTTCTCTTAACTACTATCCACCATCTGTAAATACACTGGGGTGTGTTTCTTTTTTATTAACCTATTTTTCTAATCTGTTCAAAGGTGTTATTACACATCTCGAGAGCAGGTGAGGCTTGAATCTGGGCCTCCCGGTTCAGGGGTAGGGATACCACCACCGCACCACAAGAGGACAAAAGGTTCAGACGATGAGTTCCACCTGGGCAGGCCATTGCCTGTTACCGGGGAATTTCATACTCAACAAGCTCCATGGACAGATTAATTTGTGATTCCCCATGGGCCTTGTAGGTGTTATCATGGATTGAATATATGATTAAGCTACCTTCAACATGAAACTGCAATTCATGTTTACACAGTACATTTACGAAATAACTGATAACAGTTGATTTTTGCATAGAAATATTATCTTTATTATCCATTAATCATATATATTATATACCAATAAACTTATTTTCTTGTAAAATATTATGAATAATTTGTAACATATTAAATCAGAAGGCTAGTCAAGCAACAACACGCATCAGTCATCTCAAAGAATCATGTCTTATTGACAACATCCCAGACACTTCATCACAAACCCTGGAAATGCCCTGACTCACTGGCACCATCACCATGAAATGTTGGTGTATTCTCCTGGGATGTCTTTCTGCACTCCTCATAGATACAGGGCTGATCTCCAGTTTGGTGGTATTGATAGAGCGGGAGATCTGCTGAGCCATGAGGCTACAGACTATGGTTGAATCCACTACTGTTGATGGCCCACAATGCTTCATGGCTGCACGGTTTTAAGTTGATAGTTTGATTCAAAATTTATCCCATTTCAGCACTGCAGCAGTGCTGCACAACACAATGGAAAGTGTCCTCAGCATGAACACAGGACTTTGGTTCCATAAGGACTGTATGGTGGTCACTCCTGCCAATAATGTAATGGATGGATGCAACTGCTATGGATTTTTCCCTCTTGTTGCTTCCATCACCACCTGCTGCAGTCCCATCCTAGCAGCAATTTTTTTGTAACTTGACCAGCTCAGTGGTGGTACCAAGCTACTCTTGGTGATGGACATTGAAGTTCTCCACCCAGAATATAATCTTTGTTTTTGCCACCCTTAGTGCCTCCTCCAATTAGTTTTCAACATGGAGAAGTACTGATTCATCAGTTGAGAGGGGATGATGGTAGGTGAAGTGATACCAAGAGACTACAAGGATTCTGAGGGAAATTCATCCCGATTTTATAGTACTTTGCTGTCACCTTTGTTATATCTGTCCTGCCAACTGGATAGAACATATGCAGGGATGGTGTGGTGGTGGCTGTGATATTAGTTGTAATGTACGATTCGGTGAGTATGTCAAAGTCCCCAAACAACATTGCAGGATTGGGTTTGTTATTATTGTTTCCAATGCCTATGTCAATGCTGGGTGGTCCATCCAGTTTCATTCCTTTTCCTGGATTTTGAAATGATTTGATATACTCAGTAGCTTGCATAGGACAGATAAGGGTCAAACACATTGCTGTGGGTCTGGAGTCACATATAGGCCAGACCAGGTAAGAACAGCAGAGTCCTTTCCTTAGAAGATGCTGGTGAACTAGATTTTTTTTATGACAATTGACAGTAGCTTTATGGTTGCATTTAGACTAGCATTTTAATTCCAGATTTAGTCCCTGAATTCTAATTTCAACATTTCATAGATCAAAGAATCCCTACAGTGTGGAAACAGGCCCTTCGGCCCAACAAGTCCACACCGACCCTCACAGCATCCCACCCAGACACATCCCCCTATAACCCACCTAATCTACACCTCCCTGAACACTACGGGCAATTTAGCATGGCCAATCCACCTAGCCTGCACAAACCAGAGCACCTGGAGAAAACCCACACAGACACAGGGAGAATGTGCAAACTCCACACAGACAGTCACCTGGGGATGGAATAGAACCCGGGTGCCTGGCGCTGTGAGGCAGGAATGCTAACCACCGAGCCACTGTACCACCCATACTGAGCCACCGTGCCGCCAATTTGCCTGATGGGATTTAAATGCACGTTGTCAGAACATTATCCTGGGTCTCTGCAATATTAAACCTGTGATACTTATGCTAATTACCCAAAATCTACACTGTCTCCAGTTACCAACCCTTCTGTCACTGAACAGCCTTCCTAAAGAGCAGTATCCAGTATTAGTGCAATATTTCAGTTAGGGCCAAGCCACTGAAAAGTTTTTTTTTGCATGGTGTGGTACTGTTCATAAAGGCTGGGATCAATAAACTTTGATCTTTTCAAATTATCCTGCCACCTTGAAAGAGTAATAAAGGGTAGCACTTCCTCTTTCTGAAAAGAGAACGCAAACAGCAGCAGTTTGATCACATCTAAATCACACACCATCCCAGTCTGGATGAGATATCAACAAGCAAACATTGCTGCTGAGTATCAAAATCCTGACATTCCTTATCTAGGGCCATTGTAAGAACACCATTGCAATAAACATTGGACTTTCTCAAGACATTGGGCATCAGCAATAACCACAAAATAATCAGCATCACACACACTCTAGGAAGAAGTATAAAGATAGCTGTAATTCATTTGCCTCATATAGCATAATGTACTTAAGGGAATTCGGAACAACACCAAAACAGCAGTGGGAAGGCACATGCAATAACTTAATATACGTCTGCGGCATGAGGACAGAGTAGCAAAAGATAAAGTTGGTCTGTAATTTACCTCGTCCATGATTGTCGTACAGCCATAGCCAAAATGAAACCAGCTGTGTACCCAAGCAGTGGGTTGATTATTCCAATAATTATCAATGTTGATTCTACAGTCCACTTGTTGTTGTACAGCAGTGTAGTTGTTACTGTTGAGACAATCAGTATAAATGTCCCCAGTCCAGTTCCAATCTGTGGAGAAACAAAGCATTGGTTTTTATTCAAGTCACTACATTATTCATTAATTTCTCTAAGGGGAGCACAATTTGCAATGCATGCTACAGATGAGAGAGAGATACAGGGAAAGAGGTTTGTGCCTGTGCTTTTATGCACGTGGGAGACGTTGAGCAGAACTGAATACTTCCTTGCACGGATAGGAACGGCACTAGGCACATTGAAAAATCTTTGTAAATGTCTGCATGCAGAAAGGATTGAGATCTGGATACAATACGTTTCCAGTCATTAACTCTCCATAGGGAAGGGTATATCAAATGAACAGACTGCAGAAAAAACGGGATAAGGTAGGAGAGGTAGAAAGCGCAGTCAAGATATAAAAGAAGAAGTCTTTAAAAATAAAAGAATAAAGGCAGATTCCTGTAACTATGAATAAAAGACATGTAATAATAGATCTAAATTAAAGCAATATGCTACTCAGGGAGACGTACCAATGAATAGCTTAAAATGTTGACTTAAATGTAAAATTATTTCTTCTTGCCACAAGGCTAGTTGCTTTGTCAACTAATCAATTAATATCTTTTCAAAATGAGCACTTCTGATGTTAAGCTGCAGCCCTTCTCCCAGGATTACATATCATTAAAATATCCCCACCATTTTCTATCCACTCTGTCCTTCAGATTTCACATATGTACACTCTGCACGAGGACACAGATTGTTTCGGAGAATCTGAGCACACTCACACATCAAAAGGTTTCTATCGAATAAAATGTGCTCTCATCTGTGAGGAGTTAATGGATGTTTTTGAACACATTCCTGATACTGCAGATCAGAACATTGCTCCTCTGTTTAAAGGCGAAGACAACAAAAGAAGTGAGCAGACTGGCAAGAAGTAAGCATCAAGCAACTGAATTGGTTTTAAGAGATCAAACGCAGAGATTACGCAGTTCCCTCAGAGCCAGCTCTTAGAGTGACAGGATGTTTGACACTCTGGTCACTCTTAGAACATAGAACATAAAACATAGAACAGTACAGCACAGTGCAGGCCCTTTGGCCCACGATGTTGTGCCGACCTATTAACCTACTAAGATCAAACTACTCTACATACCCTATATTATACTATCCTCCATGTGCCTATCCAAGAGTCACTTAAAAGTCTCTAAATTATCTGACTCCACTACCACTGCTGGCAGCGCATTCCACACACCTACCACTGTCTGTGTAAAGAACCTACCTCTGACATCTCCCCTATACCTTCCTCCAGTCACCTTAAAATTATGTCCCCTCATAATAGTCATTTCTGCCCTGGGGAAAAGTCTCTGGCTATCCAATCTATCTATGCATCTCATCATTTTGTATACCTCTATCAAGTCACCTCTCATCCTTCTTCGCTCCAATGAAAAAAGCCCTACCTCCCTCAATCTGTCCTCATAAAACCTGCCCTCCAGTCCAGGCAGCATCCTGGTAAATCTCCTCTGCACCCTTTCTAAAGCTTCCACATCCTTCCTATAATGAGGTGATAAGAACTGAACACAGTATTCCAAGTGTGGTGTAACCAGGGTTTTATGGAGCTGCAGCATAACCTTGCAGCTCTTAAACTCAATTCCCCTGCCAATTAAAGCCAACACACCATACACCTTCCTTATAACTCTATCAACTTGGGTGGAAACTTTGGGGGATCTATGGACGTGGAACCCAAGATCCCTCTGTTCCTCCACACTGCCAAGAATCCTGCCATTAACCCTGTATTCTGCATTCAAATTCGACCTTCCAAAATGAATCACTTCACACTTTTCTAGGTTGAATTCCATCTGCCACTTCTTTGCCCATCTCTGCATCCTGCCAATGTCCCATTGCAACCTACAACAGCCCTCCACGCTATCCACAACTCCACTAACCTTTGTGTCATCAGCAAACTTTTCATCTGCAAGCCAGGGCTCCCTGATTGGACCAGGTTAACGGCAAATAAATAAAATAACCCAACCCATTTGTGAGTTTGCAGATTTCATATGGTCTACTTGCTTGCTCAGAACTGTCACAACTACCCAAACTTTAAGTCACTGGACCTGACCTCACATTGACCATGCCTCTTACGCATGCAGGACCATTCCCATGGTTTCGACACCAAACTTCATCGCCTGAAGCAAATTGTCTCTCTCACGTTGCGGAATCTTGTGTCTGGCAGTGGCATTCCTGATGCCGTTTCACCCTCCCTCCGTCCAGGTCTGAGAAAATCAGGTTTAACTTGGTGCAGAGCCTTCTTCCCATTAGCAACTCTGCTGAAGCTATTCCTGTAATTGCGTGAGGGATGGTCCTACAATCAAATAGGAATTGGACAACTTGGTATCAAGCAAAACTGTAGGCTGTTTCTTTAAGCTTGCCTTCAAGGTTTGGACTGCTCTTTCCATTAGACTACTGGATGATGGAGCTGTCGTTATATGCCAAATGCTGATCACCTTTCGGAAACAGTCAAATTTCCTGCTGGTAAATGATGGCCCATTGTCTGTGACCAACATCTCTGGGAGTCCACGTATTGCAAAAGATGCTCGCAGCTTTTCAATCATCATCCCTCTGTTTGACGAATGAACTCTATGCAAGGTCCAACCACTTTTTATGGGCATCCACAAAGACTAAGAACATAGAGTCCATGAAATGACCTGCACAATTGACATGTAACTGA